ATAGCTTGTCGAGAGCTGTCTGAAATCCGTTGGCCCAACAGAATCGCTCACTGTATACCAAAATTTTAAATCATCCACAAACATAAGGGATGGTACCTTGAGCTTCTCAGTGAGGTCATTGACATACAATGCAAACAGTAGAGGTCCGAGAACCGACCCTTGAGGAATACCACTCAGAACGGCTTGTCTAAAATACAGCCCGGAACCCACTCGAACGCTCCTCTGTCTTACTTCCAGGAAAGCTGAAATCCACTTAAATACATGGCCTGAGACACCGTAGGATTCTAGTTTAAACAAAAGACGGCAATGCGGTACGGTGTCAAGGGCTTTAGAAAAGTCAATGAACACAACACCCACCGCCTGTCCTTGATCCACAGCCACAGCCCAGCACACTTGGGCTACCAACATGTTAGTCAAACGGGAGTGGCCTCTGCGGAACCCATGTTGAGACGGGTTGAGCAAACTGAACTTAGCTAAGTGCTAATCCAAAGCATCTCTTCCAAGCTTCTCCAATACTTTCACTAGTAGGCTTGTTAGGCTAACGGGTCTATAATTTTCAGGTAAGTGCTTATCACCCTTTTTGAAAATAGGACACACGATAGCGTCTCTCCAGTCAGCTGGTAATGAGCAGCTACGAAGAGACTTATCAAAGACACATTTAATCGGTTTACACAGCAACGCAGCCGGCGCGTACAAAAGTTTGGGATGGAGGGCATCTATCCCGGCAGCTTTAGTGGGAGTTAGGCCACGCAGGAGCTTAAGGACCTGAGCTTCTGAGATGGAAAGGTCCATCAGAAAGGTACCTACCGGTATCTTTGCTTGCACTTGGATATTAGGCAAAGGAGATTCGTAAACAAACGATCTAGCATACTGTTCGGCAAGTAAGCAGGCTTTGGCTTGATCGGTTGATACGTTAGTGCCGTCAGGTCCAAAGAGCACAGGGATAGGCGAATTTGCGTTGCATCTCCGTTTGACATAGCCAAAGAACCGTTTCGGGTTTGTTGATGCGGATTGAGCCAGCGCTAGTTCATATCTCAAGCGTGCGGCCCGCGCATTTCGCACGCCTCGGTAACGATGATGAGTACTTTCTGAGGGAGCTGATACATAAGTCCTCCAACACCTGGATCGCCTACTGAGCATCCTGCGCGCCTCATAGCCAAGCCAAGGGGCTTTGCCCCCACTTCCTTCCTCGCTGAGATTGGAAAGTGAGGGGGGGAAGTCTCGCAAAAAAGGATTTGAACTTGTCCCAAGCAGCCTGGACGGTATCATCCTCTGAAACGATACAGGGTTGATTTGCAATTTTGTCCCTGCTGGCTTGAAAATCAGCGCGCCAGATATTTGGCCTCCTGGCAATACACTCTTCACGTCCCCGACTTAAGATGCATTTGAATAAGAGGCAGACGTGATCACTAGAGCCCAAGGGGAATCATACACTACATCTCGTACAAAGTCCAGCGATTTCGCAAAGATGAAGTATAAAATGGAGGGCTTTTGGCCCTCCATGAACCCAGTTGGCCTTTGTACAAACTGATTAAGGGATGTTTGTAAGGATAGGTCATGGAGATCATTAGAAAAACGTCCAGACGCTGCAGTGCAGAAATTGCGCCAATCAACCTTATGAACATAAAATTCACCAAAAACCTGATATCTATTTGTCTTATGAGTTCGAATGAAATCACTGAGCCTGCTTGACGCACTTTCGGGGCTTCTGTACACTAACACAATTTATAATTGCGTGTAAAAAGCACAAACATCCACCGCACCTCAACACCTCGGCAGTTACATCATGGAAATTGAAAGAATATGTTCGCGAACTAGTCAATGTGGAATTGACGTACAAAGCAAATCCTCCTCCGAAACAGCACGAGGCGCGTTCAGCTCTCAGAAGGGTATAGCCAGGCAAACACATTTCACTGTCTAGGATATCGGAGAACAGCCCCGTCTCAGTGAAAGCAAGTACGTCTGGCCTGGAACTTCTACGAGAGTGCCAACCTCGCGTGGCTTTTCCCTCAGCCTACACACGTTCCTGAGGACCACTTTAAGAAAATTAGGATCGTGAGCCTGGGATCGAGTGCCACCAGAACGGGCTCTGGAAGGGCGGAAGTAGACCTCCGGCTCACCACCCGAAAACCCACCAATCGAAGTCCGGTTTTACCCTCCTCGCGACGGGCTTTGCGGTCCTTTATGGTGGTCTTCAGTTTCAACGTACCAGTCAATGGGAGGTCAGGTTGAATATTGACCCCAGAACCATTGAGTTTAAAAGCGAAACGCAGAAGCGTATTACGCTCGTCCGATGTTGAAAGAACAACTCACAGTAAACGGGGCATAACGCCCTAAACAACGACCGGCACAGACGCAAGCCTAATAAGTTTCCGTACTGTTACACCAGGAAACCCGGGCGGTAGCAGTTTAGAAATGCAAAGCTTGAACCATTTAGGTCACCAAGCATTCGCTCTTTTGGAAGAGTGGCGGTGGACTCCGAGACATTGCTAAAGGTGAACCAGCTATCAGTATAAGAGTCACTGCGGCCGGTGTGCCTACTCCACGCGCCACAGCCACAGAATCCTGCGACTGGGTGGCTGGTTGCTTGGATGCACTAGCTGCGTAGGAAGAGACTTTGTGAGGAGACGCCGAAGGACTCAGTACTGAAGGCTCTGCAAATGACATGCTTGCCTGATCTACTGTACACTCCGAGACTACAGCATTTTGCAAGTCTACAGCTTTCTTCTTCTTGCTACTCTTTCTTTTCGCTGGCAAGGTCTGCAATAATGCGTCACTAGCTGTGGAATCACGTACTGGTTCCAACTGTTTAGCGCCAACTAGCTTCCCATCAGTTGCTGGATAGGTTGTTAGGTTGATGGAATCCGTTTGCGTGCTACTATCCGCTAAATTACCTGGCCGTGAACAACGGATGGTGTCAGGCGATCTACTAAATCTTCAATATTCCCAACCAGTTGTCAATAGCAAAGACAACACACTTTCCATATTTGTCACTCTGGAAACGAGCAAATCGAAGCAATCCTTCGTAGTTACAAAGCGATCAGCATTAAGCTTAAAACAATCTTCACAGCTATAAAGGAACCTCTCACTGAATACTGATCAGCATACTGATCCGCAGGCTAACCGGTGCGTTTCTCATGTAACCATCTACCGAAAAGAGCACATTACATACCACCCGACAAGTCGGTTACAGGTATAGAACATCTCTCTAAGCCGCATAGGTAAACTGAATCAGCTGTTTTAAGACCCGAAGACACCTCCATGACTTTTCTAACCGTCTTGACAGCAATGAAGAGAAGGTAAGAACAACGAAAATTGAGGACCGGATTACGAAAGTCTACAATGCAGACAGGTAGAGCAAAGTCGGATAATACCGCAAGTAAAACGTACGCGCAGCTTTGTACGCAATATGATATTATGATGCAATTTTTCAAGCAGCACAGTGTCCACACGCGTTTTCGTGCAGATGAAGAAGTATTCAGCATATGCATGGAGTAGCAAGCCGTAAGTCGTACGGAGTCTCCACGGAGACTGCGTCGTGAAAATGAAGACACCCACAAGATACTGCGAGTATGTTAGGACTTCGTAGTCTTTTTGAAACACAGAAAAACTGTCAAGCCACTGTTTTTGTGCAGTGTTATTCGCATAGTTTCCAAGCAAGGTATACGTCGAAGAGAAGCTCGAACGATGAAACACGACAGGCAGGCCGTGAACATATAGTCCGGTAATTTGGCACGTCCAAGTCCTTTTGGATAACAAGAAAAGTGACAAAAGCCAAATGTTATGCGCAGTGCCATTCAATTACTGTTCTCAAACCAGGATTTCAGTGAAAAAATCGCGAACAGTAAAACACGCCAAGCACGCATTCCGAAAAATACAATTAGCGTTGGTTACCGCGGAGCAAGTCAAGCACTCAAACTCAGCAAGCAATTCAACGAACCACACCGATCATCTAGGAGCACAATGAAACTTTTTGTTAGAATTTTACAAAGGCAAACCGGGGAATCTCTATACTGCTGCACATTTTTTCCTTAGAAGAAATGGATTGATGAAAAAGTTCGCGCCTATTAGCCTTAATAAGGATTGTCGTTAAATACGTTAATTACGTTGACTTTGGATTCAAGCAGCAGAACCTGTATTTTCTTACTACATATAGGTAATTCCAGCAACTTTCCACAGGCGTTGCACATAACTTCTGCCTTCGTAACACTGCGCGAAGCAGCATTGGAACGATAGAAGAACACGTTGTCGCTATTTATTTTCTGCACTCGCATTTTATATGCTCCCAAGCTCGGGACGAAACAGATTTCAGCAAAAATTGCGATTTCCTAAGTGTTTATTATACATTGCGTCGCTAGAAAAACGTAAAATGCGACGTAACTACTCCCACTAAATTCAACCCCCGGACTCATTTATGATAAATCTGCGCTATTACTTGTAGGCAGCGTAAAAAGTCAGCACTTTTTACGTGGTAAAAGATTCGGCTTTTTAAATTACCGTGCCGTATAATCCCATAGGTCATGAGTTTCAAGGTCTTGTACAATTAAATGCCCACGTTGTGGTGAACGGGAAGTGTGGCATCGCTCGGTGGCACGAAACTCTGTCAGACGTTAGTTTTGCAGCTGTCTTTGGAATCGAGTTAATTTCGACATAGCTTCTTTAAAATTTCGGGTATTAAGGAATTGCACAATGAACTTAATATTTCATATATCTAACATATTGCACTTTTGCCTAATTAGTCCTAGTAGTACTAAATTGTCGTACTGTGTCTCGTTTTCGTTGTGTTCTTGAATTAATGTGTGCACGTCAGAACAATAATATCTGAAACCTGTTTACCAATGCCAAAAGATTCAAATATGCCAACCAATGTAGCTGCTTGCATACAATTAGATGCTTACGTACCGTAATTTTGAACAACTTGTTTATGTATAGGTACCCTAGTGTATACTATTTATAGCGCTTTGTAGGTTACATCGTGCTTTGCAGACAGTTTTCTATTCCTGTAACTTTGCTAACAAGAAGTATCTTTTTACCTTAACTTGCTAATGGCAGTCTATCGTTGAATCTACGACTCAACTGGACTCGCCGGTTGACACAATACCGTGTGGTATGTTTGTGGCTTCTTTGTCTATGTGACTTAGCTTTTCTTCTCGGTCTCTATTTTTGTTCAGTGGATGTCATTGTTTTTCGCCTTGTGGACATTTTAAAGTCTGAATTTGGCTGGTTTCCTGAATGCGGCCTTTTACATCTCTGTTCTGCTCCGCTGTCAAGCTCTTTAAATATAGCGCTCCAGTGCTTTTCGTTGGATCGGCAAACCGTTATGGGGTAATACAACTCATTGTAAAAGTTTTGTTGAGTCACGTAATTTTGTCGTTTTCTTGTTCTCATACGTTTCATTGCGTCAAAGGAACGTGCGCAATAGATTCTACCTACTCATCTAACTACACATGGTTGTGTACAGGTAGAGTCTACTGGCTCGATATTGCTGAGTTGGCTTTGCTAACCCGTTAACCCTCTATCTGACCGGCTATATTTAGCACGGCTGTCAATTCGCCTATTGATTTGATAAACATATTACACGAGTCTGTGCGTTTAAATGACCTACCGTTATCTAGCTTCACTGGTTTTCCCTAAGCGTTTCACTTATACGTTTACCCATTTGTTCTAATGGTGGAGGTCATTTCAAAGTGTAGTGTTGCCATGTAGCAACGCTGCATCCTTCAGCCGGCTTGGTACATGTTCAAGTTCAAGTGGAACTGAAACGGTAGGATTATCCCTTGATTGTTCCTACTTCAGCGGGTCGTTGAATTAATTGTTGACAGACTTTTACATGCAAATTGACCTAAAACAAAGACCGCATTAAACCCTGTCCAACCAATTAATGCCCACGTGTAGTAAGTAGTGGAGTAAGGTAAACTCAGAAGACAAGGAGCGAAAGGGTAAAGAGCTAAGTAAATGGAATATCAAAATATTTGTCAATTGAAAGGAGAACTGAAAACTGAAGTATAGACAGCAAAAAGGAAAGGTTTGATGTTGCCACCCAAGAGCATCTACTTACGTGCAAAACCCTTAACCGTAGGTTCCCTAACCACATGAACTGGAAGCGAGTTCCAGTGGTCTATAACTCGGTGCGACAGACGATTTTCCGTCCTAATCCTATCAGACCGTGGTTTCTGCAGTTCCAGTGGGTGACCGCGGAGATTAGGTAACTTAGCGGGACTAGATAGCCCTGACAAGTCCGGGACGATCTTACCCGCCAAAATACAATTAGTGAGAATCAGTGAGGATTCTTCTGTAGTGCAATGAGTACATTCCCAAACTAAGCAAGCGTTCAGGATACGTCTCTCTCCGTAGACCCTGCACTTACCGAGTACCCACTCGTAACATCCTCTTTAAGTCCATTTTGTCGCGGATAAGACTTGGTAGGCAAGCCTGGATACCATATTCCAAGTGGGGTCGGACTAATGCGGAGAATAGCTTCACAAACAAATTGGCTGTTACGACTCTGTAAGAGCAGCGGATAAACCACATCATACAATCACACCGACCGGCAGCCCCCAAATCAACCTACTGAGTGACAACAGGTATTACACCACCGCCGACAGCATATCGGGTGGGAGGAGTAGCAGTACCGATTCGGAGTACAGAGCACTTGGGCATCAACCATAAGTTAGAGCATTCCCATCCAAGGCACCTTGAATTGCCTCAGGACCTTCCAGGATATCCGCAATATTCCATAGCTTAAGGTCGTCAGCAAACATCAGTGATGACACGCCTAGCTCCCCCGGCAAGTCATCTACATAGAACGCCCCAATACCGAACCCTGTGGGACGCCACTAGAGACAGTTTGTCTGAGCGAAAGGCTACGCCCCGTATGCACTGTTCCCTCCCCTCCAGGAAAGTAGACACCCATTTAAGGGCGCGCCCAGATATGCCGTATGGTCTCAACTTTAGTAAGAGTAAGATGAGGAATAGTGTCAAAAGCTTTCGAAAATCCACGAATAGCACGGCTACAGCGTTGCCACTATCTACCGCTTCGGCCCAGCTTTCACCAGCTCCAACTAGGCTAGTCTGACACGAAAATCCCTTGCGGAATCTAGGTTGCGCAACACTGAGGTTAAGTCTATTCAGGTGGTTCTCCACCGATTCCCTCATCATCTTTTTCAAGCAACCTGACTACCACGCTTGTCAAACTGACAGGCCGGTAGTTCGCGGGCAAAATGCCGTCACCGCTCTTAAAATTCGGAGACGATGATGAGTCCAAATAAGGACGAAACGGGTTATGGATTGTCAGGGTTGGGAGGAGCAACACCGAACCACCACCAATTTGGATACGGTTCTTGTTATCTTAATGACCGAGGTCTGCCTCAAAGTGCACCGAGGTCTGAATAGAGATTGCGTCGCATTCCAACCACACAGCGTGTACACCAAATGAAACTGTGAGATGATTGCCTTCCATTCGGAAAGTAACACGCAGCTGTCAAGCGATATTAAATACACGCGTGTGCGAGGACTACTCAGCTCAGCGGTCAGTTCATGCAACAGCTTCGGATGAATTGAATCAGGACCGGAAGCTTTAGAGGGATTAATGCCTTGTAATACCTCGAAGACCTGAGTATCCATTAAGTTAAACCCCACTAAGCAAGAATCCTGTGGAACCCTTGAAATGCTTGGCAGCTAGTGGTAGTGGAGTTTCCACTTGTAACGAAGGATTAGAAGCTACTAGCCAAGCCTACCCCCATATTCGAACAGGTTTTGGGCAGCGCTTTAAACAGCAGTCAATGGCCCATTGTAATTTCATCTCCACCAGTCTCATAGCTCTAAGCATTAAAAGCAAGAAATGCCGGTAGCACACAAATTAATGACTACAGTTTACATATCAGGCTACCGGCCGGTGTTTGGTACGCATAAGTCTTGCGTTTTGGAACCATCGCAGTGAGGCTGGACTTTACCGTGATGCGTTATTTTGCGTGCTTCAGATCCATTGAGCTGTGCTGGGTGGTGCTTTTGCACCTTCAGAGCCACTCTTATCAGACTGGTCAGTGGTTTGAGTCCAGACAAACTCAGCCTCTTGGTCCTCCAGGTTGGGGGTTGGAGTGAGGGTGTCCTTATTATTTAAAGCGGGTTCTTTGTGGCCCATTGTCAAACACGCTACCTCGCGGCCAGGTTTTTGTACCACACGCTTTGGTTAATAATCGTAATCGTTCTGTCTAGATCTAAGCAACCTGACAGTATCCTTCCCACGCAATACTGTGAACCTTCTTAACCAATTTCTTGATGTTCTGACCGTCTCGGATAAACGGCGCACTTTCTGCATCGAGCAGTTACATAGTTGTTTGTTCAAGCCCTCTCATCTTCCTCGCTTTTTCACTATTGTTCCGTTCCATCTTCATTTTTATCCCCGTTTCAGACCCCCTATTCTCGGCGCTTCCCCACATTGCTTTGATAAGCGTTTAGCTTCTAGTTTCCACTCACATGCAAATGCGGATCCTCAGTTTTGCCCTATCGATAAGTTTATGTTTAACCAAACGGTAAAGCTCAGTTCATCAGCTTCTATTTTGAGCCCCGATCCTCAGATTGGCATGCCTCAACGTACGCACATTGTTACAGATCGGTCAATAGGCAATACTTGCCCGAACATTAGAGACCCTCTCGATCGATATCTGCTGCCTATCGGAAACCCGCCTACAAGACCCGAGCTCTGTTCTCACTCTGCGATCCCCTTCAGGTGACACTAGCAGTGCTTTTTCATTGCGCCTATCCGGAGATGATGCAGCTTCGAGTACCGCCCAAACCAGGTTTGGAATTTCTCTGAGTCCGCCGTTTGAAGCTGCTCTGCTTGATTGGATCCCAGTCAGTAGCCGGATGTGTGCAGTCGCACTGGCTGGTTCCTTCAAAGCTTCGAGACCACTAGGTGTCTATTTCTTATTGCTGCTTACGCGCCAACAAACTTTAACGATGATTCGGTAAAAGACGACTTCTATGGCCAACTGGGCGAGCTCCTTCGCCACGGAAGAAGTACGGACACCGTAGTGCCGGCTGAGATTCTGTACGCTCAAGTTGAAAACTTGCCCACTGATGAACTTTATCTTGGCGGCCAACACGGTATAGGTTTCCGTACTGATAACGGCGAGCAGTCACTCCATTTGTGTGAAGATTCCCGCTTATTTCTTTCGATCACTAACTTCCGACACAGCACCCGGCGGAAGGTAATATTGCGCCCACCAGTCTTGGACGTAACTCTATCACATTGCGATCACTTTCCGCTAGAGAGGCTGCGAAGCATTGCTGGTGTCGGATGACACCAGGTTGTCCACAACGATGATGTACCTAGGCGAGTACTAGATAGTGATAATCATGCTAACTCCATAGAACAACAGATAGCACTGAATAAGTTGCGCTGGCTCGGTCACTTGCTACGTATGCCCGGTCACCGCTTAACTAGGAGGGCCTTGTTTAGTCTGCCAGGTGTAGGATGGCGCAAGGCTCGAGGTTGACAGAAGTTGACTTGGCAGTGGGAAATGAAGTTACTGATGACCAAACTGAGTGCCGTTAGTCCGTCTAGTCTTCCGGGCTGGAGTCCACGTGACTCGCCTTGTGCTTGGCTCGAGACTTTACAGGACATGGCTCGCAGTAGGCATCAGTGGCGCGTCTGCTGCCGTCTCCTAATTGGATTGCCTGTTTAAGGTGTGTTTGGTGCTGAGTTATCTGCGGGGTAATGGCTGATTATGACGCGTGGCAGTGAAAGCCGCAAGGAAGCTGTCTCGCCGATGCCGCCTTATCTTTGCACGATAGTCAGCTATTTGTGACGGTCTGTTGTCTGCGCAAGGTGTAAGCGCCTTGATCCTGAGTGTTTGCTTAGGGCATTAAGGTTTTTAGGTAAGTCCCCCTTCTCTCCCTCTTATTCTTTATTTCATCGGTCATCATGGTTGTATGGCAGCGAAGCATCAGTTCAGATGGCTGATGTACTGCTGTTGAGAGAGACTGCGTCCAGTACTGTCAATCTATTTAGAGCACATGTGTTGACACTGACCATGCACTTGTATGTGCTGATCTGCGGGTGCCATTTTACGGACGCCCACGACGATCCTGTGAGTGCATTGACACCTGCAAACTGACAAAGTCAGCTGTTATGAGAATGCGTATCGAAGTACGTTAACATGCGAGTTGAGTAAGCGCTCAGTGAATGCACTTGATGGTTACTGGTCTCATGTTCACCAGATTTTATTAGCAGCAGCTCGCCGGCACATTCCGTCTGGGAGCCAACTTTATGTGACTCACAAAAAGCGAGCAAAACCCTGTGCTAGCCTAAAGAGAGACTGCGA